GGATCTCTGAAGAAACCATGTGATCCTGAATATTTCAGTATGACTAGTGAATGTGTGTGCATTGTAACATAATCACTATGTTTTATATTAGTTGTGTCTTTTTATCCTGTATTTGTGTTGGGTTGTAAGTTTCTGTTACCAAGAAATTCGCTTATAATTTTTTTGTTTATATGAATATTGGCTTTTAAGTTGTAACCAGTAATTTTGTTATTCAATTTTTCAACTTTGGATCTTAGAGCCAAATATGGATCGAAATTACGTAGAAAAAGAAAAGAAAAGGAGACCAAGGTACATCTTGAACTCCAAGAAAAATTGTTAATATATTGCCTTGAACCACTGGAAGTCATACTCGTAGTCGTTACTCGGCTTTGAAACTTTACATTTCCCTTGTTGTTTTGTTTAGAGATAACTAAAGATAGTTGTCGTCAAATACATGTCGAAATATTTTTTCAGTTAGAAATTTCTTACACATCTATAATCTATGGTAATCTTTTTTTTTTTGGTGCTAAATAATCTATGGTAATCTAGAACCTTTATAATTAATCAGATGAACGATGTAGCTAGTAATAATAAAAAATATATATATCCATAGTACGTAAACTACTAAATTCTGTCATAAAAAATGTTATTAATCACTTAATCTAAATATATATTATTGTTTTTTTTTGTCTAAATATACATTATTGTTATTTCAAAATGACTCTACTTGTTAGAAACTCTTGGGAATAATTTCTTTTCTTTCTAGAAATCTGCAAATTATCATGTGACACATGAAAACGTGTTAGAGGGAAGCTCTCGTAGAAATTTTGTTCTATGACATCTTTCGAAGACCCTTATATTCCGTTTATCTTCACGATTGTCTACAGTCGATATAGACTCAGATGAGAATTTTGAATAATTTATTGTTGTCACAAAAAGTCTGCTAAATTCTGTCACAAATGCTAAGTGTTGTGAGTAATAGGGATCGAATTGGAAATCTAAAATAGAGTAAATCAATAAAACAAAAAGATAAGATAACCAAACTTTTACGTGAAGGAGTTGTTGATCTACCCCAAATTCGTTATTTCTTAACCAACAAACACATTATATAAAGAGTTTTTATCAACAAAAACATTATATAAAGAATTTTAATATGTAGTTTCTATAGTTTATAAAAAATAATGAAAAGCAGCTTCATTCCCTTTTGCATATTCTTCTCCAATTTATTGTTATCATTGTATTCAAACGCAAATGTTGGATAAAAGAAAAGAAATGTATATATTATTTATAAATTTTTAAAAAATAAACGTAATGAAACTATTATGGCTTAATTCTCATAAAGGACATGAGAATCAGAACATCTTCTTCTCCATAAGAAACTATCTTCACTCTTTTACTCGGTATATTACAATGGTGTGCCGTTTGACCTCTACGAATCTAAAAAAATGGATGCAACAAGTCTCTCTCTCTTCTCCCTACTTTTGTTCCACCTTCGCTCTAATCTTCTCCTCGAGTATCTCTGCCTCGAGTCCATACATTCTATTCAGAGCCTGCATGTTCTCTAGCGTCTCACCCAGTGTTCTGCTATCGCTCCCATCGCATCTCAAATGCTGCATTGGACCGTGTAAGAGCTTGTTCACTATACCTCGGCTTAGATCTTCTACTGCTTTCTTCGTCTTGTTGTCCATGCCATTGCCCGCTTTCGATAAGAATTTCTCAAATTCTGTAGCTCTTATTCTCTCTGCCAATCCCCTGAATTTCTTGATCGTTGGAACCGTCTCCAGCGAATCCCTCCACGCTTCAAAAAGTTTGGATTCCTCTGTTATTATAGTCTGAGCTTCCATTGCTTTCCTCATCCTATCTTCTTTATTGGCAGCAACCACTTCCTTAAGATCATCCACATTGTAAACCCGTGCACCATCTAATTCAGCGACACAAGACCCAACGTTTCTAGGAACAGAGATGTCAATAAAGAGCCTCGCATCTCGAACGGGAGGGAGAACCTCTACGTGCTCCTTCAAGAACAATGGCGCCTCTGAGGCTGTGCTAGTAAAGACTACATCGGCTTCTGCAGCACAAGCTAGCATCTCATCAAAGGGTTTATAAATAATCTCTACACCAGGCGGCAACTCCTCGCGGATAGCTGCAACTTTCTCTTCGCTTCGGTTCACAACCACCATTTTGGTACAACCTTTTGAAACCAAGTGCTTAATTACAAGCTTCCCCATCTTTCCTGCACCAAGAACCAACATCCTTGCGGATGATACATGTGAGAAAGATTCTGGAAGCTTCATGAGAGCAAGTTCAACAGCAGCAGAGCTGACGGAAACAGCCCCAGCTGCGATATTTGTCTCTGTTCTGACACGCTTTCCAACCGTGATTGCGTGTTTAAATAGCCCACTGATATTCCTCCCAAACCCATTGACTTTTTGACCTACTGTAACAACTTGCTTAACCTGTGCAAGTATCTGACCTTCTCCAAGGACAAGGGAATCCAGACCAGCTGAGACTTCAAATAAATGTTGTGTGACGTCCTTGTTGTACAATAGAAAACGGTGCTGAGAGATCTCCGAAACTGGGATTCCGCTTGTCTGACAAAGAAAGAACAAATCTCAGCATATTCCATTTGATTATAAGAACACTTGCAAGAGAATTATCATACGGAGAAAGAAGGAGAAATGACCAAAACATCTAAACACAAGGAGAAGAGCAATCTAGTCACTGAGATAGAGCATGGAAAAGGGAAATACCTTAGACATCCATTCAGTCACTTCTTTGACTCCACGATGCTGAGATAAAGCCAAAACATAAATCTCCATTCGGTTGCAGGTACTGAGTACAGCGGCTTCTTCAATATGATTCAAACCACACAACTCGGCGATAGCTCGTGGCCATTCAGCTTCTGGAATGGCAAGCTTCTCACGCATCTCTACAGGAGCTGTGTGTATACTAAGCCCAATCACCACAATGCTGCTTCTTTCCTTTGTGTATCCTGGTAACCAAAAAAACGTTGAGCAAGTTAAGTAAAACAGAGCAATTAGCTTCAACAAGAAGGATACAATCTCCTCCACACATCTAAATCCAGAGTAATCATATGCAATTAGCAAGCAGATCAAAAGATTGCTTTTACGTCAAACATGAATTATCCATCTTTTGAGCAAGCTTTTCGAATCCGAGAAACAATAGCAAAATCCAAAATTTTGAATGCAAAGAGATGGGATCATCGAAAATTCCGATCATGAATTTCAACATTTTAAGGAAACACAAAATTGGAATTTCGAACATTTTAACGAAACCCAGGAAAAAAAAAAAAAAAATCAGAAATTTCGTACTGTCAAGAGCAGAAGTCTTGAGCTGTTCCAGAGCGGAGATGCTAGCTGCCTTAGACGCAGAAATCTCGCAACGCGTTCTCTGGATCAGACTTCGCCTTGTTCTATTGTTCATCGGAAGAGAACGAATCCCGATTAGACCCAACGGTGCTGGAGAAGAAGAAGAAGAATGATTAAGGTGATTCGATAACAACGTTTCCAGCTTCGGTGTAACAACAAAGGAACTCGAAACCGCCATAGCTTTTTTGAGTTTTCGATATGTCACACACACAAACCCTCTTCGCCTCCAGAATCCAAACCCTAGAAGAGATCAGGAATCGAGGTAAGACAAAGAGGGCTATGATGCGATTTTGAAGAGGAGAAAAATTGTTTATCAATTGAGTTGAAAATGAGAGAAATTTCTTCTTCTCCGGTGTGGATCAGGAGCGTGTGTTAGTTGAAGGAAGAAACAAGGAAGAAGCAGGTAAAATCCGGGTCGGGTCAACCGGGTTTTAAGATTGGGTCAACCGGGTTTTGAAGATTGGGTCAAATATAAACAATTGGACGAAAATTCTAACGTGAAAACGGAGAAATGTAAATGGAATCAAAGTGGCGGGTGGATAACACGTTTTATTTTATCCACACTTCGTTATTATGGTTTTTATTCTTCCACACGGAAACTTTTTTATCTTCATTTTGTGCATTTTCAATCACTAAAATCGATCGAGCTTCCGTTTTCAAA